TTAAATGCAAGGAAAAAATCTGAGGCATTCCGAAGAAATCGTTCATCTTGCGTTCATCGTTCGTTCACCGTTCACCGTTTGCGCTCCGTTCGCGTTCTGCGTTCACTTACCGTTCTCCGTTCACACATCGTTCACCAAGTTGCGTTCAGCGTTCACACACCGTTCATTCACCGTTCGCTCTGCGTTCGTTCACCGTTCGTTCACCGTTCGTTCAGCGTTTGCTCACCGTTCAGGTGGGAAAGTAGAACGTTTCAGGGACTGTAGGTGCTGGCACGAAAATGATCCATAGCTCTGAATACTGAGTTCAGGACAAAATTTGCAACTCTCCATTGCGAATAGTGGCGTCTCCATATGAGTGAAAAATTCTCCAGAGGAACAAACACAAAATACAATCAATAATACTCAATGAAAAGTCTTGTCACAGTAAATACATCTTGATGTATGAATGCCTTAGCTTTTACCATTCAAAAGTTATAGTAGCTATGGTCAAAGTTTTTGGTAAAAATTGGTTAAACGCAAAGGCTAATGTTACATGGTCAAATTTGGTGGAACCAAAAGAATGGTCTTGTCACAAGAAATGCACCGTGGAATATGAAATCCATAGCCTCACCCACTTAAATGTTTGGGCAAGGCTAACGTGTTGCCGATAAAGAGATAAACAGGTCAATTAGAGAAAAATGTAGTCCATGTTTGAATTTGAGTACCGTCTCCTTTCAATGTCACCAATTTTAATAAGGAGAATTAACGATCTCCTAATTTTGTAACATCTTTCTGTCAAACTCGAAAAAAACAACATCCATGAAAACCTTTGCAAAAATATCAAATTGATAAATTAAGTCATTTTCATTTCAGAGTGTTAATTAAACAACAAGAACCCTAAGAATGGCCTCAGGACTAGACCCTGGCGGCCGTTCTAGGTTTGCCAAGCTCGGAATGGCAATAAACGATGAATTGACGCAGGCCTGTAGAGATGTCTTAGAAATGGAGGTACCTCCTAGTCTTGTCTATAGCAAAGTGAAAGCATCATCAATTTATAAAAACATACGTCCCGAGCAAGAACTTCGTCTCACAGGCGCCAAAACAGATGGATATAAAGAATTTGATATAACATTGTTATATACACTGATAAGAAACATATGTACAAAGATTCCTCGTCCAACAAAAGGTTGGGGTGGGAACACGATGCCGTCAGCGAGAGAAATAACGATTGGTGATGACGTTGAGAGGATCAGGATGATAAGAAACAGCATGTTTGGACACATAAGCTCGGCTTCTACCTCACAGACAGAGTTTGATGACACGTGGTCAGTCATAACTGATATCTGCCAAAGGCTGCAAACGTACACAAACAAAGACTATTTGTCTGGACTAAGTACTATTCAAAGTCAGGCCCTTGAAGAGGAGTACGAAACAACAGTCATAGAAAAACTTAGGGAAGATTATGAAAATAACCAATCTCTACTTGAAAAGTTATCTTCTGTGGAAAAGGATTTGCAAGAATTGAAACTAAAGTTCGAAGACAAAGGTGACTATAATAAATACTGTCATTAAAATATTTACTATATACGATATGAGGCGGAGACTAGTGTTTCATGCTAACATGACAAATACATTTCTCAATATAAGTAATGTGGAATTTGTTTCCTTAAGATTTTTGCAATTTGAACAAAAGTTGGCTAAGCAAAAAAAATCTCCATGATACCCTACTAGACGTCAGAACTATGGTGCAAACAATATTGCAAAATGATCAATTAATTGGAAAAATGTCTGTCTTGTTATCGGTGGAAGAACGTAAATATATTTTATGAATTCAATCTATGACAGTTTGCGATGTACACCAATTAAAAAAACTTAAGGCCTGCATATGTATCATGGTGTTGTTGCATGCTGGTTTTGAAACTGATGTAAATGTCCCCGGGGAAGGTATGCTTGATTATAGAGGAACACTTTGATATCCCAGTTGTAAAAGCCTAGTCTACCACTAGATATAGAGTCAGACATCCCCAGTTGTTCACTTCATTTAATCTTGGTTTAACAACATCACTCTATATTTATCTTATAATTACCTAACATTCATATCGATGCAGTCAATAAATGTGGTGGGTATTAACTTATATCGTTGACTGCCCGTTTATCCATTTGGCATGTATATTTTTGGATTAACTAGAGTGGAAAAAGTGTACATTTATCATGTTGGCAAGTTAACATTCACTGGAAGAAACGAGACCTTTCAGTTAAAACTGAAAGGCGGCCTTCAGTGACTTTCCAGTTGCCATTCAGCCACTGAATGGCAGGTACATTTCAATGACCTTTCAGTTGCCTTTCAGCCATATTTCAGATACCTTTTAGTCACCATTCAGCATAAACATTTCAGTTATCTTTCAGTGACCTTTCCGTCAACTTTCAGTTAGCTTTTCGTCGACTTTCAGTGACGTTTCCGTCGTCTTTCAATTATCTTTCCGTCATTTTTCAGTTACCTTTCCGTTATCCTTTAGTACACATTTTAGTATCAATTCAGCAATTTTTTTTACTGGCTTATTAATTTTTAATCAGTAGTTTTTCCTTTAAAATATTTTGCCTAAATTTATTATCCTATCTAAACTTTGTTTTTTTTTTCTTATCGTAATAAATGTACCTAAATAAAACTGGTAATCAAGCTTAAACTTAGATTTTCAATTGTATTTCAAGTATTTTTATACGTTCGGACAAACTAAAATAAGAAGAATCTTTCTATTTCTTCTGATACTTTAAATATTGAAAAGATCCTTGTAATTAACTTATACAATTTAAATCAATCGCGTTTCACAGATATCCAACATTTAAAAAATAACCGATTTATTTCTGGTTCGGAATTAAATATCACAGACAGTTTAAAGTCAATTTAATCATAGAAACGAGGGGATATATTAGATGTTCAATTGTATTTCAAGTATTTTTATACGTTCGGACAAACTAAAATAAGAAGAATCTTTCTATTTCTTCTGATACTTTAAATATTGAAAAGATCCTTGTAATTAACTTATACAATTTAAATCAATTGCGTTTCACAGATATCCAACATTTAAAAAATAACCGATTTATTTCTGGCTCGGAATTAAATATCACAGACAGTTTAAAGTCAATTTAATCATAGAAACGAGGGGATATATATGGTCAAATTCGGCGAAAATTTTGAATTGAACGTAGAAATATAGCAAATATCCTGTTAATCTACACTTGATCTTGTATTTATTTTTTAGATCAGATATGTCGTATACTCCCTGGTATAACTTTAACATGTTTAAATTGTTAAAGACTTTAAAAATATGTTTTAACAATTATTTATTTATATTTTTAAAAAATGATAACAATTCAACAAAACACGTAAAATTAAAAAAAAATATATAATTTTCCAGTTAGAAAAAAAATCTTCCAAAAACAAAAAAGATAATTGTCTATTTTTTTTATTTCTGTAAATCTCTAATTCGATCTCTAAGGAGAAGATTTCTTTGACAAGAACAGGTGCCCGTCGCCGATAATTGTCATCATCCCGAGAAGAGATGTGTAATAAATCAGTCTGTCCCCAAAATCCGCGCAATTAATATAGAATATACAAAATATATACAAGATATATACACATCGAAACTCCTCGATACAACAGGTGAACCGTGTTCCATTTTGATTTCAACATATTGATTGATTTTAATTCAAAGATTTCCAATAAAAAGCAGTAGCTCCGTTGATAAGGTTACGGACTTTTCCGCTGGCGACCAGGGTTCGATTCTGGCATTGGGAATGTTTTTTTTCTTGCATTAATTTTTTTTCTTCATTTTTTCTTCGAATTTATATAAACTAAATGCTATTAAATCAGGAAAAAGTGAAATAAAATTTTTAAGTTAAAAAATAAGCTGATTATTTAATAAAAATATGCAACTGAATGATAACTGAAAGGTCACTGAAATGTACCTGCCATTCAGTTGACTGAATGGTAACGGAATGATCACAGAAAAGTCACGGGAAAGGATCCATAGTGAATTCAAAATTTACATAATGATAGGCCGATTTATTGCAATTCTATATATGTGAAACAATTAAATTACCTTAAGATATCTAAAAAGAAAAACTTACTTTCAATGAAATTTGATATTTGATATTATTTTGTTTGCATTAAATAACAACCTCATATTCATATTTTTTCTATGTTATGGCTTGAGAATCCTTTCCATTCATATTTTTGTCTGTACCTCATCTTAAACCACAATTTAAAGTCAGTGCATACATTTGTTTCTATTCCCAAATCCTTTAAATTACATGATTTTTTGTAGTTAATATATGTAGCATTTGTAATATGTTTCAATACTAAATTCAGATTAATTTGATAAAACAGTTTTAGTGCACAATTATATGATTCTACAAAAAAAAAACGAATTTCATTTTAACAATTTCTTATTTCTGTTTTTTTTTACACTTATAATCTTAAAAGGACATATCTGTTACAGAAAACACTCTGGTAAAGGAAATTCTCGACAATTGGCGAGAAGACGATATTGCTTTCATTCCTACAAGAGCAAGTGAAGCAGTGGAAGAAAAGCTTAAAAGTCTTAACCGCATCACAGTGGTTGGAAATTCTGGGTCTGGAAAATCTGCAATAATTCAACATATTGCACTAATTCTTAAGGATCAGGGATGGAATGTCATGCCGGTGGATAAGGTAGAGGAAATTAAAAATATCTGTTCAACTGGAGTCTCAGAAGATCGGATTTTATTTGTATTCAATGATCCTTTAGGTAAGGAATCCTTAGATGAAATATTATATCATTCATGGAAAATTTTTGAGAAAACACTGGAGATTTGCTTGAAGAAAAATAAACTATTGATATCATGTAGAAGATGCGTTTTTTATGACAAGAGAATCAAGGGTAACTTATTGGATGACTCATCTGCTGTAGAAATTGACAACAAAGAACATGGACTGACGGTTGTGGAAAAAAGGGCGATTTTTAATCAGTATTCGCAGGATCTGCGTTTGTCCGAAAAGGTTGTTGCTGAAATAATCAGAACAGAAGCTTACTTTCCATTGCTTTGTAAACTTTTTTCAAGGGAGGCAAACTACAAAGAAAAAGGGGTTGATTTCTTCAAATATCCGTACAGATTTATTAAACAGGAAATTGAAATTTGGAAGAAAACAGACAAGAAAAGATTTTGTTCACTTATCCTGATAGTGGCTTTTCAAAACAATTTGAAAATCGATGCTATAGTAAAAAAAAATGTATGTTTTATGAAATTTAAGGACATATTAGGAATGTGTCAGTTACAAGAAAACACACATATTTCAGTCATTCGTAGTACTCTACATGAACTGAAAGGATCCTATGTCAAACGTGTCGGAAATGCTTTCCAATTCCTTCACGACTTTATTATGGAGATAACGACTATGGTGTTTGGTGTTGATTGTCCACAAGAGACAATTCAGTACGCAGACAGTGGTTTTCTGAGACGTCGGGTGAGGATAGAAGACGATACAGAAGAGGAAGATTGCGATCCCTTCACTGTTTACCTTCCTGAAGAGTACATTGAAGATCTTGTGGACAGGTTTATCAAAGACATGCAAACAGAACACCTTGTAGATGTTTTACTCAATCCATGTTTAAGGAAAGAGAGTGTCATTAAATCCTTTAAGGAAAAAGTAAAAGTGCTTGCAAAGATTCTTGTCAAAATTAAGTGTAAAATAGATAAATCGGAATTTTTAAGATCGTATGAAGACTTTGGTTTGTCTAGACTTGATTTTCTTGATTGCAAAGAAGAAATATGTCCTTTGACTGGATTCATTATATTTTGTCATAATGACATCTCTTCATTTTTCTTGAATAAAATCAATCAAACAACGTTAAAAGATTACAAAATCTTTTCTGCCGTATGTGCAAATGGTAGGACAGATCTATTAAATTCTCTTAGCGAGGAATATAAAAAAACATCATTAATGGAAACATTGGGTAATTTTTTACCAATTCAGGTTGCTTCTGTATTTCATAATTTTTCAATAATTGAAGAATTAGTAAGACTTGGTGCTGACGTGAACGAGTTCACAACTAATGACACACTGACTCCAATATTACTGGCGACTGCAAATCACGAAGATCATTTAAAAGAGGCCGGAATGGATACAAACGAAGGAGAAAGACGTAATAAAACAATTATGTGCTTATTGAACAATGGAAGCGACATCAATTTATGTGATAATAATGGAGCCAGTCCTCTTTATATAGCTTGTCAAAATGGACATGATAGTACAGTACAATTATTACTGAACAACGGTGTCGACATCAATTTATGTTACAAGAACGGAGCTAATCCTTTTTATGCAGCTTGTCAAAATGGACATGATAACATTGTACAACTGTTACTGAACAACGGTGCCGACATTAATTTATGTGAGAAAAATGGAGCCAGTCCTCTTTTTATAGCTTGTACAAAGGGACATGATAGCACGGTACAACTGTTACTGAACAACGGTGCCGACATCAATTTATGTAAAAAGAATGGAGTCAGTCCTCTTAAGATAGCTTGTCAAAATGGACATGATAGCACAGTACAACTGTTACTGAACAACGGTGCCGACATTAATTTATGTGACAAGAATGGAGCCAGTCCTCTTTTTATAGCTTGTACAAAGGGACATGATAGCACGGTACAACTGTTACTGAACAAAGGTGCCGACATCAATTTATGTGATAATAATGGAGTCAGTCCTCTTAATATGGCTTGTCATAATGGATATAATAGCACGGTACAACTGTTACTGAACAACGGTGCCGACATCAATTTAGGTGAGAAGAATGGAGTCAGTCCTCTTTATATAGCTTGTCAAAATAGACATGATAGCACGGTACAACTGTTACTGAACAAAGGTGCCGACATTAATTTATGTGAGAAGAATGGAGCCAGTCCTCTTTATATAGCTTGTACAAAGGGACATGATAGCACGGTACAACTGTTACTGAACAAAGGTGCCGACATCAATTTATGTGATAATGAAGGATTCAGTCCTCTTTCTATAGCTTGTCAAAATGGACTTGATAGCACGGTACAACTGTTACTGAACAACGGTCCTGACATAAATTTACGTGATAAAGATGGAAACAGTTCCCTTTAGGTAGCTTGTGAAAACTCACATTGCAGCACAATCGAACTTCTATTAAATTCAGGTGCTGATGTAAATTTATGCAACAAAGGCAACTGTAGTCCGTTGTTCCTAGCATGTTTCAATAGAAATGAAGGCATGGTTAAACTGTTATTGAACAATGGGGCAGACATCAATTTATGTGACAACGAAGGAACCAGTCCACTCTTCATAGCCTGTGAAAATGGACATTACAGCATAGTCCAAGTATTATTACAAAACGATGCTTGTGTTAATTTATGCAGTAAAGACAATAAGAGTCCACTGTACATAACAAACGTATATGGTCATGACAGTATCGCTGAACTTTTACTACAATATGGTGGTGAGCTTTTATTCTGACGATGGTTTCAGTGGTTTCTCAATACCAAGTGCATTCACATTATTTCTGAGATATGGAGCAAAATAAATTCAAGCTTTGATTAGACCTTGCAAAAATGTTGGAATGCTTGGAATTCGTGTTTTATATTTGGTTTACAGATATTTATTGTGTGGATTCTTTTTTTTTCTTTGAAATTTAGTAATTACTGCAGCACTGTTAATCGCCAAATTTTCTGTGACAATTGATTTTTTTGAGATGGATACTGCGTATGTAAAAGCGAGATGGAGATATTGCACTTAATAGAAATTTTTTCTCTAGAGTTTTTTTTTTTTTTTTTTTTTTTTTGATATTTAATAGTAATACTTTTATACGCAAGAATTATTTTATTTTTTTTTTTTTGTAAGAAGACACAAAAAAGGTTCTTTGGAATAAAAAGTTTACGTATTCACAGACATTTATTAAGTTTACTTATTTTTTATGTCATATGGCTTTCTTCATTATATCGTACTACTGCTATTTAAAGGTTTAAGCTATAAAAAAAAATTCAGTCTAATAAAGCGTCTTGTTTCAAGAGAGCAAAGTCTTCCGGCTACATAAATCTTTTTGTTCTTGTAAGCAGCAAGGGAGCAGTCGTTATTTGATATAAACCTAAACCATAGTACTGTGCTTTTGTAATATTTAAATTTATTGTGTAAGACGAGTATAGTTATTTATTTGGGTGTAATTTATTTAAATAAATCTTAACTATATACAGGTGACACATGTGTTCGAACTGTTATGTTTACAACATATAGTTATATTCTGTTGATTAATCGAAATTCGTTTGGAACATTTTTTTTTAATTGTATAAAGATTATATGTTCGGGGGTTGGTGGGGGGTTATATATCAAATATTCCTTAATATGTACCGATCTTCACGGCATGTGTCTTTTAAGCCCCTGAACAACAATTAGCTGAAGAAGGTACGCATAATTCTATGAAATAAAAATTCAAGTCACAGAAACATTTCTTTTTTTAATGCATGTTTTACATTTGTCGATATATAATTGATTTCTTTTTTTTTCTTTTCTTTTCTTTTTTGAAATTGAAAATGTGTGTACATGTATTAATTTTGTGTGTTTATTTCATTTATAGTGCTTTGATTTATATTGTGCATTGTTTGAACTTAAAAATGTCTGTACATGTATTAATTTTGTATTAAATTTGTTTGTTGATTTCCTTTATAGTGCTTTGATTTATATTATGCATTGTTTTAACTTGAAAATGCCTGTACAATGTACATGTATTAATTTTGTATTTGCTTGTTTGTTTGATTTTTTTTTATAGTTCTTTGTTTGAAATCATGCATTGTTTATTAATTATCATTCGGGATTATGCATTTCATTTTTTTAGAATAGGAAGAATGAAGGAATGTTGAAAATATATATGTTGTGCAAAATTGTTTCTCTGGGTTAATCTAAAATTACACATCGACAATTACAGAACGATTTTTTAATTGAATTTGAAATTTAAAATGATGCAATAATCTGGCATACGTTATTGTGAACCATGCAAATTTTGTTTTTGTTTGATACTGTATATAGTACATGTCAATATATTTTCAAAGTTGTATTTTATGCAGTTTTATATTGTGTGTTTATGTGTCAGAAAAAATAATCTATCATTAAATGAAATGACACAATTTTTTTCATACTGATTGCTAGATCATCATTTATACGCTGCATTATCCACGGATTTCGTCCGTTTTTTTTTTTCAAGCAATAACTGACAGAGTTATGCCTCTTGGACTTAGAAAAAAATACAATTACTTGGCAGGGGTTGGGATTGGGGATGGATTGTCTTAACTGTTTTACATACTGCTTGCTAAAGTTGTTTTTTTTTTTTTGCGTAGATTGTTTTTCTGTATACCCAATCAGTAGACAGTTTGATCTTTAAATATATAACTTAAACAAAACTTAAATACAATTAATGAACAAGTACAATTTGTGATAATACAAGGATGTGTTAATCAAATGCGTTCCGAAATAAGTAGATTAAAATACTTTCCGGGAAATATGTTTTTATCATATTTTTGTGTGAAATGCTATATCAACATATAAGTTGCGATATTATACAGAAAATTTGAAAAATATTAAACTTCATCCGTGTTTAAGCACCTTTAAGGACCTTTGAAATTTTAATTGTATTTTATAATTTGTCTTAATTTCGTTTCATTTCATTTATCATTTTCTATGTTCTATGTGATTATCCTGAATCCTTACTTAAAAAACAAATTATTTGGATCACTAGAATGATCACGTCTTCTTTCAAGAGGCGATAATTGAGAAATAGCAAAAATGTGGGAGTATCTTTAAAAATCTTCTCAAAAGCCATTGGCCAAACGAGTTAAACTTAAACTCCGTGTTTAAGCACCTTTGAGGACCTTTGAAATTTTAATTGTATTTTATAATTTGTCTTAATTTCGTTTCATTTCATTTATCATCTTCTATGTTCTATGTGATTATCCTGAATCCTTACTTAAAAAACAAATTATTTGGATCACTAGAATGGTCACGTCTTCTTTCAAGAGGCGATAATTGAGAAATAGCTAAAATGTGGGAGTATCTTTAAAAATCTTCTCAAAAGCCATTGGCCAAACGAGTTAAACTTAAAGAAAACCTTCTTTTCATAGTTTCGATTTAAGTTTGTTCAAATGATAAACCCAGGGTTAGGGTGAGGCTACAATAAGTGTTATTTAAAGTTTTATAAATGAACAAATAGGAAAAAATCTGGACATTTCTTCATCTGAAGAGAGCAATGGTTGATCATGTTATCAAGGAAGAATCCCTGCATAGCTTGGATTCTAATCTGTTTAAATGATGACACTGGGTTAGGATGAGGCTACCCATGGGGATCAAAGATTTATTTTCCATATATAAAAAAATTCTAAACCCCTCAAGAACAACAAAACTATGATTAGTTATATTGATACTGAAGCATCATCAGAAAGTGTAGATTTTGGATTGTTTAAATGATGACCCTACCGCCGGGAAAGGGTAAGGCCAAGTAGAGGATCAAAGTTTTACAAAGCTTTCATTAGTCGTATTAAATGTGTTTGAATCATGACCCCGGGAGGTAGTTGAGAGCTCAAATGGATGAAAAATTTAAGGAAAAAAAGAGAGAAAAGGTTGAGCTTTCTCAAAAACAGCAAATCCATGATTATTCATATATTTCAAAATAATTTGATTTTATATTATTATTCATTATGTATCTTGATTTAAATTGACTTCAGCTAACTGTGTAAGGTATTTGATCGTGTTTTTTGCACACTACATTTAATATATAGTGAATTCAACAAGAGACTTTTCGCCAAATTTCGTTGCTTGCATACAAATTTTAGGTTTTGCAGACTAAATTTCGTAAATTAATTTATATGTACACATCTTAAAGGACATGTGTCTTAACTGTCTGTTACGTAGGCCTTTCACCTGCCGCTAGGGGTCGGTGTTATGAACGATAACTCACAGTTGAAACTTGTTTAGAGCAGGCTCGGGGTATCTAACTGTTTATACGCAAGGCAGTTTTTAGCATTTCTCAGGTGTTTCTTTGCTTTCAGTAGAATCTAGTGGTTTTAGAATTTAGTACCAATATTAAAATTATTTACTTTATAGTTGCAAACACCGGTTTACTGCAAATAATTAAAATTTTTAATTAAAATAAAAAGTGAAATCTACCCTCCTTAGTTCTAACCTATTTAAATTTTTATACTCGGTCGTTCCCATTCGTGCTTAGTAACACAAATAAGATGATCAATTGTTGCATATACTTGTAAAAATATATATATTTACATAGGAAGTGAAAAAGTGCGAACACAAAAAACATGACATTAAATTTTCTTCTTCATAATAATCGTCTAAGAGAGTTAAACTATTGAATATAGTCTGTTCCCTATTCATTTGACCCTGTTATTTCATGTAGAGAAAAGGCATTCTCTTTATTGTTAACAAAACAATGTAAGGAACCCTTTTGTGTATATAACAATACCAATGCTGAAGCAGCCTATATGTCATTCATATAAACGATAACTCACAAATCGGCACTAAGTTGGTCATTTTTCACAACTGAGTTACCTGTCCTAAACACAACATCGGAAAAGTCAAGTATAAAAAATTAAACTTTTTAATTAGGTAATTTAAAGTATGCACAAGTTATTATCTTTTTTGATAATTTTATGTACCTATAAATCTATCTATACAATGTGTTTTACCATATGTGCAACTTGAGAAACTAGTTGAAAGGCCTATGTTACGTCCCTGTGTATCATTTCCAGGATCAAGGTACGTAAAAATTCTACGAAATAAAAAAAATACATAATTAAAAATTATTTTAAAGAAAATAAACGTCTAGGACTTTTGTCGAATCATCATTGCTACTTTTTTTTCCTTTTTTTATTTTGGTTCTTCAAAATGTATTGGACAGTGTATTAATTTTGTTTGCTTGATTTGTTTTCAAGAACTAATAAAGTAAAGGAGTCACAGCGGGAGTCAATTACAATCATTTCAGTGTGATGACTGATATTTATCGTAATAGTCTGAAATATCACTAAATAAAATACAGGAGTCCATAGCGGGAGTCAATTCGCGAATCGCCGCGCTTTCTGTAAGACCCAGCCCCTTTCCCAAACTACGTCACGGATGCTGAGGTTACACAAACTTCTCTTTATAAAATAGGCTGCAAAGAGTCAATATCAACACTTTTTTGAAGTTTTATCCGACTTACCTTATGACATATCCGAAAATTAAATAGAGGGAGAAATTTCCGTGAAAGCAAGGTGTTAAGTATTATAGTATAGTATAGTTTAAAATATATTTTATTCATTTAATGAAATGGATTGAACAGCAGGCATAAATGCCTATGATCGTTGTCTCCATGGGGTCAAGGTACAATCACAAGTACATGAAAACATAGGAAAATGTATGAAAAGAAAATTATAAATGGTACATATTTGAAATTTATTCTGAGAGAAAGAGAGAGAGAGAGAGATGAAAAGAAAAAAATATAAATGAATAAGTAAAATAATAATTATATAATAAATAAAGTATAATCAACAAAAGGAAAAAACCAAACCAAACAAAAAAACAAAAAAACAAGAAAATATGTTTGAACAATTGTTGTTGACCCAGAGTAGGAAGATTTCCCTAACAGAGCAGTTAACATATCGTAAAATAATATATTTCCCATAGAATATAATAAACTAAAATTTCAAGGAAAACCTCTTAGTGGTTCTTATAAAGGTATGTACCTTATCAAAAAAATGAAAAATTTTTATCCAGGCTTAGTGAGTCTACACCATATAATATGTTTTCTATATTAATTTGTATGTTATTTTCATTCATGTATTTAATCAGTGATTGTCGTTGTAAGGCATATTGTTGACAATACAAGAAGAAATGAAGTGAGTTCTATGGCATGTCAAACGTTGCTATATTCGATAATCTTGTGATGTATATTCAAAATCTTGTGATGTATGTGCGTAATCTTGTGATTTATGTTCGAAATTTTGTGATGTATATTCAAAATCTTGTGATGTATGTTTAATATCTTGTGATGTATATTCGAAATCTTGTGATGTATATTCAAAATCTTGTGATGTATGTTCAATATCTTGTGATGTATATTCTAAAACTTGTGATGTATATTCTATAATCTTGTGATGTA